ATGATATCAAATGGAGAACGTTTCAATTACGCCCACCGATTTTGGCAGAAACAATGGAGAGTTGTAATCCGGTAATCCATTGGCCAATGGCCATCGTTGCATTACCAGTAATCTGCTTCGCTTTCTTTTTTTGTATGGCGCACATGTCTGGAATTTTTTTAGCTTCATTGACCAGCAGGTCAACACTATCTTTCCCCACGCTTCGACATAAACGGTCAACAACCTGTCTAATTTGATCAATTTTATAGGGCATACAGACTATTATTTAAATCATATTCGATCAAATTAAGAGCCCGTTTGGAGAACTCTGTTTTCGGCTTATCAGGCTTATCAGCCAGCTTTTTCACCAAACACGTAACTTTTACTTTCGCGCGCTGAATTGTGTAATAAGCCGAAAAAGTAAGGTTGGAGTTACTTTTCTGGCTGTATTGGCTGAAGTTACTGTAGAGGACCATTTTAGCTATTTTTACATATAATTTTTTCTTTAATTTATTAATAAAATATATTTTTAAAATATTTTTTTCTTAAATCAGCAGAATCAGCCAAAACAGCCACTCCAGCCAGAATATCATAAATTTCAGCAGAATCAGTCAAAACAGCCGATTTTGGTGCTACCAAACAGACTCTAAACATTTAGCTTAAAATTGAATAAAAGATGTTAGAAAGATTCATATGATAAAAGATGTTTAAAAAAATATGATAAAGGATATTTAGATGCCGTTTGGTACCACTTTTTTTCGGCTTACCAGGCTTATCAGCCAACTTTTTCATCAAACACGTAACTTTTTCTTTCGCGCGCTGAATTGTGTAATAAGCAGAAAAAGTAAGGTTATAGTTACTTTTCTGGCTATATTGGCTGAAGTTATAGTAGATGACCATTTGAGTTATTTTTACATATAATTTTTCTTTATTTTACTAATAAAATATATTTTAAAAATATTTTTTTCTTAAATCAACAGAATCAGCCAATGCAGCCACTTCGGCCAGAACTTCATAAATTTCAGCAGAATCAGCCAAAACAGCCGATTTTCGTGCTACCAAACGGGCTCTTAACTATTTGAATCAATTTGACTCAAATTCTTCCACATCGTTCGGTTCATGTACAATGTATTAATATTATTTGATTAATTATTTCTAGGATAGTTTCCATTTACTACAAAATATATACTTCTTTCCTCCCTATATAAAAGACATATTTTGACTGGCACACCCTAGGAAAGAATACTGTTTGGCAATGTTTAGAACTTTTAGCATTGTTTGACACTATTTTATACTGTTTGACACCGCTTTGTTTGCCAAAAAGAGAAATGAGCTTTTTATATAGGGATATAGGGACACCCAGTAAGAAAGATGTGTCTTTTATTTATGGACGATGGAGTATGATAATACGGAGTAATTCAGAATAGTGCTACATTATCTTTGTTTTGTTGCAATAACACTTCAAGTTTTACTTGTGATACTACGTACCTCCTTTCTTTATTACTTTTTTATCTAAGTTTTATTACGAAGATTAAGAAAAGTAGTATGAGAAAATAATTTAAACAGAAAAAGTTTGAAAGAGGAAGCATAAAGGTGAGAAGAAAAGGTAAAAAAACGTAGAAATGAGAAGAATAAAAGTGATAAAATAAAAAAATGGAAGACGCAAAATAGAGTTGAGTTTTCAAATATGATATTAAGGAGAAGTATACAAATCATAAACAACTTTCTCCACAATCCATGACTCAAGATTGGAAAAGAAGGTGGGGGGTATTTGATTGGATAATAGTAAAAGTTATACTACCTTCGTCTTCCCGAAAGAAGGTGACACGGTTATTAAGAAAAGTAGGTTTGTGTGGTTGATATTAATTGATAAAGTAAGAATAAAGTAAGAATCATTTAGAGCCACACAAACTTTGCCAAATATGGTATAGGACAATTTAAGTGGGACTCCCCGAAAAGGTAAAACAAGACAATATAAATAGGAGTGAGGGAGTATATATATATATATATATATATATATATATATATATATATATATATATATATATATATATATATATATATATATATATATATATATATATATATATAGGGAGCAGTTTCAATAAGAACCATGCTTAACGTGAGAACGTGAGAACCATGCACTTTTAACACATCTCGGTGCACTATGAGGCTCACTTATTGCACTTTTTAAACTTGGGTCAAAACGTGCCAACTTTATATAAGTGTGGAGACAAATTTGTAATTATTTCGTTAACACGAAAATGTGCAAGAAATAATCGATATAGTGCATCACAATTGCTTAAAAGTGGAGTTCTCACGTTCTCACGTTAAGCAAGGTTCTCATTTGATCCAAAATCTATATATATATATATATATATAATTTGAAATTGTAATTTGAGATTAATTTATAGTATTTTTTAAGACATGAGGAAGTGACGCAATTATTAAAAAATGTAAATTATGCTATTGATTTTGAATGTGTAAAGTATAAATAAAATCAAAATTATTTGAAACTACATAAATGTTATCAAACATTATACTCCGTATTAAACAAATTTAAAGAAATGAATGAAAATTGGAAAGTGGAGACAAACAAAAAGTTAAAATCCAATAAAAGGTAGAATATATGAATAATATATTGCTCCTAAAATGTTGCCACTTGCATTTGCAACAAGTAAAAGATGGGAGAAAGTATATACTACTTGATCCCAAAAAAAAAAAAAATCTTATTCTTTAAGAGTATTTCACATCAACCAGGCTTGAGGTACACATTTTTGTACACACACTTACACACTCGTGTCCGTGAAGTGTTTTGTTTTGGCTGTATACAGACACAACTTATTTCACAGACACTTCAAATGCATTGTGTCTGTATACAGACAAAAAAACACTTCACAGACACGAGTGTGTAAATGCGTGTACAAAAAATGTGTAACAATAGTTTTTTCCGTTTCACATCATTTACACTATTAATAAGCATATCAAATCAAATCAAATTAGATTGTTGGAAGGGAGTATAGGAGATTGTTTTCAAAGCTCATCTCGTGCCCAAATGGCCAAAATCATTTTAAAATGGCCAAAATCATTTAAAAATATTGATGAATGTGTACTTCTTAGACCTTTATCTTCAAATGAATTAATAAAGTTTTAACCATTTTCTTATAATCAAATAGTTTTTATAAAGTTTTAACCATTTTGAATTAATGTGTACTTCTTAGTAGACCTTTCAACCATTTTCTTAGACTTTAATTTATTAAAACTCTTTTCTAGAAAACATCAATTATAAAATCTAAGTTAATTTTTACTCCGTATTATATTGTAGAGCATAATAATTTAAATGTTGTCGATATAATTAAAATAGGTAGAGTTTTAGACTAATGAAAAAAAATTGCGCCTTGCACACAAATTTTGCATCCGTCCCTCACCAAATCCATTTACTTTTGTGCTTTAATTGAAAATAAATCACTCGATATAGCTAAGAGTCTAAGACCTTGTTACTGTGCTGTTGTTGGAGTTCTTGTTAGCGGTGAATGAAGGAATTTCTCAGGTTTGATTATAATTAGGTTGCATGGACGAAATGAGCTTAACCCTGGAAATAAAAACCATTCCGAGTGGATTCCCGAGAGGTCAAATGTTGGTGATTTTAGTGTCACCGGCCATTTTGTGTAATTGGAAATGACATGAGTGCCAATGGGAATTAGAACTATGATCTAATACAAGTTAGTAGGTGTGGAGTGCACACTTGTATATAAGAACTAGTTTAGTTCCAAAGTGTCTACGTTAGTGGAACTTGAGGTAGAACTCGAGGTATAACTTTCAGTAGACCAGCTCTGTGGTTCTAGACCGAGTTCTAGAACGGTTAGGCAGTTTCCAGCAGTTTCCCAAAAACTGCTGCGGTTATTCTTAATCGTGTTACTACTTCCTAGGACGATGAATATGGATATATACCACCATATTTCGTACAGAGGAGAAGGAGAAAACATATCCAACATATCTTCATCACTTTGGCACTCAAATTAAAGATAACAATCCATATACTCACTAGTTTGGCTCTAGTTCTTGTGCCTAAGTTCTAGAGTGTCCTTAAGGATTATCCTAGATTGAATTTCTTGTAACCCAGGCATAGGGGAGAAATATCAATTCGGAAAGTGAACTTACACGATCCTTAAGCAATCCAAGTACTCAAATTATCACCCCCTACGTGATTTACCCCAACATCAAATTGGTATAAGCTAAGCCTGGAAAGATGAATATTTCTAACAGCAATTTCTATGAGGTTTTGATTTATTTTGGGAAGCCAAAGTTTGATATGGAAATGTTTGAGGGGAACATCAGAACTGCGCAGGCCACCATTGAAAAACCTTGTAGAGGAAGAAGCTCTGAATTGACTAGTACTGCAATAGCTGGTGTTGTAATTGGGTTGATGACAAGGGCAGTAGTGTTAAGTATCATTACTGCTTACTTTCTTTCAGAGGAAGAAGAAGTTTTGGAGAGGGAAACTGATTTTGTATGCAGGAGAAGAGGGTCAGGGTTTGACACAGGAAGAAGTATAGGAAAAGAGTTACTTATAGGACTGCTTATATGTATAAGGCATTAAGGCATAGTTAGATGGAGAGGATTGAGAATCTGATTCCTCTTAACTAGAGCATCATATCAAGGACAGGGAGGAGAAAAGCTTCTCATTTATGTCCATTTTTCTTAAGAAAACCCTCATGAGATCTTGCATAGTATGTATACTTTATGAAGTATTAGTGTATATGTTTTTAGATGTTTTACAATATATTTTCCCTTAATTTGTGTTTTAGGCATCTTTGTTTTAACACACATCTCCTTCACTCCTTGTGCATATTTGTGACTACATAAGTTGGTTAAAGAGATTACTCCAGAGAAGAACAAAAGGGAAGTGAGCTCATTGTGTTAGACTGTTAGGCTACTGGGCTGTAAAAGAACATCTCTAATTGCTACGATTCGTCGATTCCTACATTAAAATCCTAATTCAAAATCAAATAGTGGTAGAAGTTAAATAGAAAATAACTTCAGAACAGGCTGGAAATCTATAATAACGTTTTGGGAACAGAGGGACCGGAGTACCTTATATAAGTTTACATTTACAGAAAGAAACAGAAAAACATGCTTATGAAGTAAATTTTACACAATAATGAATTAAATTGTAGTATATAAAAAGTTCATTTTCAAGAAAAATAAACATGTATAGAAAATTGAACTCTTAATGTTTCCTTTCCATGCTTCTTTTTAATACTCTCCATCCATTGAACTTTGACTCAAATGCAGACAGAGTGAGGAAGGCTGGAAGGAGATAGATCCTTTCCCCATCAACCAAGAAGAAAATATCAGGATGTGTATGGTATGTACCTCAGGGTAATCTGCCACAGGTGTCCCTCTCAAGTTTCTAGTTGAAGAGATTTTGGAAAAATAACCCCTAAATTTTACTTACTATAAAGAATCAAATATGATCCGGTTAATTCTAGTCCTAAGATGATTTGGCTATATGATAGTGATGATGATGGTGGTGGTGTGTATATTGAATATAACTTTAACATTGGCTGCCAGCACGGCAAGATAGGACACCAGCATCAGATGTAAGAGTGCCGACTAGGGTAGAAGGTTTGGCTGCCAAGCTGGAGGCCTTGGCGTAGCTACTCATGCCCGCGCTTCCAGATGGAATGAAATAAGCTCCATTCAGCATAAGGTCTCCTTCTGACCTCCAATTCCATTCCTTCCATGTGCTATTGGGTGTCCTCACTCTCTTTGTCACCTCTTTTGCAAAAGAGTCGGTTGGGGCTAGGAATCTGTTGCCTTGGCTGTTGATTGTGGGAGATGAACTCCCTCCTATGGCATACATCTCCCAATGTGTGTAGTCATTGTTCACCACGTGAAAGTAACCAAACCTACACCTGCTTAGCAACAATAGGTTCATTCATTAGACTTGCTTTCTAAGGAACCCAAAAATTAGAAGTTCATCCACCATTTGGTAGCTATTTAAATCTTATTTTACTTGTAATCAGACAGTAGTTTTTTAAGTTGATTGATTGGCTGAAATTGATGCTAATACACACTCTTGGATTAAAAAGTTGACCTCATTATTACATCTCAGCATTTCGCCCATGTAAACTTTTCCATACAGTCCCTAAATGAGACTTATCCCTAACTCAAATATGGTATTCCATTACGAGCAGCTTACCATGCTTGTCTCAATCTGAGATGTCTAGTCATAATCCGACGATTGAGTTCCAAACGAAGCAACTAAGCGAAGTCCTCACTTGGCTGCTTATTGGATCTCAACCATCTGATTTCAATTAGACAGATCTCAATTTGACATTTTTACCTTGGCATTCTTTGAATCAGCCCCTCTCCAAAATGGTTGTACGCAACTGTGACCTGCATAATCTTGTCTCTAGAGTAAGAGTCACTGTGGCCCAATAACATGACCTGCATGGTAGTAGATTGTTACAATTAGTTTTTTGTGCAAGTAGTCTTTTTATTAATGCTCGCAATGTTACACTCTCCCAGTCTCCCATGAGGATATTTACCCACATATAATCAGTCAGCCATAAAGACATTGAAAACCTAAAGTTAATTCTTAGGTTTTAAGATTTAGATTCATACACTATGAAGGCATGTAGTTTCGTCATAACAGGTTAACTTTAGGAGTCAACCAATCTTGCAGTTTGTAGGAGTAGCCCAAAGTGGGAGCAGACCATGTTTTTCATCCTTGGTCATATTGAATTGCTAGTTTGAGCCTATTGGTATCGGATACTCTATTGTCACTTGAAGTTTTACTCTAGAAGTTAAAATGGCGCAATAGTAGCCGATGCCTTAACATGCTCTATCTTATATATGTTGTTGAGATTATTTAAATTTAAATCCAACTATAGGTCCCTCACTTAACCACTCTAAGGGAATTAAGAGTGTAATAAAGAAATCACACCTCATTGTGGTGGGTGAAGTAATTGTTTGAGATGGTGATGGCTGTTGATCCCATAATAGCATCAATGAGCCCATCAGCACAGTTAGACATGGAGTTATGGTCAATCCAGATATGGCTAGCATCAAAAATAGAAATCCCGTCACCATCAGCCATCGTCCTCCAACCATAATGAGTAGGTGAGCTCCGGACCATGGCATTCCCGGTGGGCTTGCAGTCATGAATGTGAAGGCCATGGATGATAATGTTGGTCACAAATTGAATTGTAATGCAAGCACCATTAGCTATGTGAACGTTGACCCCACGGGCGTCTATCGTCTTAAAACTGTTCATGATCAGCTCTTCCTTGAGGGTGATGACCATGTCTCTTTGGAACACTATCCATAAAGGCTCAACTTGGATGACCGCATACCTTAAGGTCCCTGGCTTTGGGTTTACCACGTCATCATCGCTGGGGTCGGTGATAACGTATTGCTTTCCGTCTCGACCACCAATAGCATTACGTCCGAAGCCTATAGGGCAATCCGCTAAGCGTTTACGGTTTTGTTGCCAGTTGGGGTCACAACGCCAGCAGTCATCTATGGGATTTCCTGTTCCGCATGAGAAAAAACCCAACTTTCTCCTCTCTGTTGCATTAAGAATGCTCCTACATAATAAACAACAACAGTTGATTACCAAATGGACGTAATATGATACTTGGCATTAATTTTCCATAAGTTCCAATATTCCTTGGGTATGCACACTAATATGGTTCCTATATTACTGAGAATGTAGAAAGTAAGTTTTGTGCCTCATCTGAGTTTAAGTATAAGTATGACTCAATTACTTTGTTTCATATTTTCATAACATGAGCACATTAATTAATTTATCTCATAGACTTTATATCTTTTTGGTGTAGTCTTTGTCCCAATTTCACTTTCATGATGTACTACTATATTATACATTCTACTCTTTAGTCAGACAAAAAAAAAACATTTTGCTCCATACAATTCCTATAAATGTTAATCAATGCTTATTAAAAAAGAAAAAAGGAAGAAAAAAAACAGTACCGCAGTAGTACTATAGGTACATTGACATAAATGGCTGGTCTGAATAAATGCAGATTGAAGAAGTGGGCAGGTTGTGTTAGATAGAGTGTCGGTTGGGAAATACTAGGAGGTAGGAATTAATGAACTTCATAACCGCTTCATGTGTTATATGCCAGTCGGCTGGCCTGGTCATGGCCGAGTGAGCCTTAAGGTCTAAAATCTGCTTGACCTCATTGCCATTTGCCAGCCTGGGAGAAGCACACAATAGAACCGAACCAACCTTAAGGCCTGGCTAAACAGTATTAGCTGGCTAACTGTTAGATTTTTCTATTATAGGTTATGGAGTAACTTGATTTATACTATTATCTGAAATGGATTGGAAAATACATGGATTGGATTAAATATTACTCAGATCCAAAATGGGTAAATTAAAATAATCATCTCTGATCCATAATATTTAATGAAATTCTTTCAAGCCCATTAACTTGATTGCGTTTTTGTTGAAATAAAGTTACATGACATAGATTCCATTAATTTTTAATTTCTGGAAGATAATGTTAACAAAAATGTTGTTTGTGTACATGCAATTTGATCGACGTGTACAATGGCGTGCAGTGTAAGATGGTGTGTGCACGAAGCATCATTGTAATGTTAATTATGGAATGTTTGGATCTGATTCTCAAAACTGATTATGTTCCTTCAAGGAGCAGAAGCAGAAGCTGGAGTGTTTGGTTGAAATTCCAGAAGCACTTCTGGTGCTCCAATTTACTCTCAGAATCAGTTTTTTTAGAAGCTGGTAGGTACCATCTTCTGAAAACTGATTCTGATTCTGCTTTTGCATTTAAAAAAGAAGCAGAAGCAGATTCAGTTCCAAACACCCCTTAGATGACTTCCTTCGTATGGAATTATGGGATAACCAAATCAAGCTAATGCAAGATCAAGTTATTTGGGTAATCTTTTTAATGCCACATAGAAAAAATGAGGTACGAGTAATATTGAGGGATTACCTTTTTTTGGTGATGCAAGGTTACGTTTGTAATGTTCCTCTACCATCAAATTAATCATGTATTTTTGCATTGTTTTCTTTCTTTAGATATTACATAAAGAATCCTAATTAGATATTCACATTATCGAAGGTGATCTTAATTGTATTTGCCAACCAAATTAAATACCCCTTGATGTTAATCAGTGATTTCTTAATTTATGAAAAAATGCCGTGTATATATAAATTTTATCAGTTATAGTATTGTTCAATATTCATTAATCAACCCACATCTTTTCAACAAAAATGATGTTTGTACCCACTCTCATACCCACTTTTGTACTCATCTATGTTTGTGAAATGTTTTTTTGTCTGTGAACCCCGGTTCATAGACAATATTTTGCACAAACAAAAATAACACTTCACAAACATGGTGAATATAAGGTGGGTATAAGAGTGAGTACATCAAGTATTCTTGTCTTTTCAAACTTTTTCTTATTTTCCATAACGATATTCTACCGAGTACTCCGGTAGTAATAGGCATGCCATCACATCATCCCTGGGTTTCGTTACTAGATACAGTATCTTTTTTTTATGCAAGGGGTCAGGGGAGGGGCTGGGGCAGTCTGGGAATCTAGGATAAACAAGACAGAAAAACTCATTTCGTGGAGTTTCGAACAAGGTACTTCTCGTATAGAAAGTGAGTCGGCAACAAGTTGAATTGGGCCGCTTCATCCAGTAGACACATCATCTAATTTCTACTTGTTTGCATAAGCCAAAATATGATAAAGGTTGAATTAGAAATACATAAAATGGGATGAAATTATATTTAAATACGAAATGCACTTCAAGTTGATTTATTAATTCAAGTCAAAGAGCTCATTCCGTCAAACCTTTAATAATATCATCCAATTTAAATGGCTCTAGTGCTCTATGGAGTACCCATTCCCCCATTTATAATCATCATTTGAAACCCATGAATTCATGTCAATATCATGCCGCATTGGACTATTGGATTAGTGTTAAACAATCCGTTATATATATGCAATGAGCTTACTTAACTAGTTAACTAGGTTGTCTAACCTTCTTTTTGTCAAACAAAGCCTTAAAAGAAATCGTCAGTCAATCTACCCGAATTTAATTACCAAAGATGAGTACTTTCAAGTTTCAAGATTATGAAATCAACGGACAGAAAAAAATATGTACTGAGAATAATTACGAAGATTAATTTACACCTTACCAAACGACCCTAAATGAAATAGAAATGCTTATATTGGAGAAATTAAAACATAGGAAGGAACTAACGTGTGAACCATCAATGCAATTGCCTCTGGATCTTCTACACCACCTCCCACGTGTTGAGGTTCGTTTGTTATCATTCTGCAAAAGCAAAGTAAATATTACTCCGTATTCCGCATTTATAGGCACTGTATATCTTATAACTCAAACTAGTGACTTAGGTGGGTGGCAAGGAGATTCCTAAATTTAGCAAAAATCTTTTTAATGTTAAATTTATGTAACAAATGTTGTAAATAAATTCTTTTTCTGGTCCAGCTATTCGTGGAGATCCTATGCATTTTTTTTCATAATAACCTCTCATCACAGTTGTACGAATGACCTCCCGACCCTGCATGACTCGAGGTAGTTACTTCGGGCCTCTAGTATTGTTCTCACAAACCATCACGAGTCTTTATCGCGCCCTTAGCTTTGTCCTAAGGCGCCCTGAGAAACTTCCCAATGGGTCACCTATCTCATGACTACTCTCGTGCAAGCACTCGCGCTTAACTTTGGAGTTCTTGGGTAGCTCCCTTAGAAAGAGATGCATCTCTGTTGGTATGAGTAGTATTTCGCACTATTAATCCCTTTAAATTAATCTCGAGTATTACACCGTCACTATTTATTCATATTTATGTACTCGGTATATATGATGCAAAACTACTCGTATTTTATTTTATAACTTAATATCAATAACATGGATTCACCCTTTTTAGATTTTCACGTCACTCCTACGCATAAACTTAGTGTATGATTTCTCTAAAAAAAAGTCATTACTATGAAAGGGAGCAATTACAATGGTTTAGCCGAGTTTAGATGGCACAAATAAAATGCCTAAGGTTGGTTTGCAAATACTTAAAAAAAACATTTCTCAACTTTTGGCTTAAAAAACACTTATTTTACCAAACATTAACAACTTTTATTTTTCTCGGCTTTCGTGTCAAAAGTGTTTTTACTTTTTCTATTACACAAAAAACACTTATTTTATCAAACAATACCAACTTTTACTTTTCAAAATCACTTTTTTCTCAAACACTATCAACTTTTATTTAATCATTTCTCCTCATTTCATTAAAAAAAGCACTTTTTTAAAAGCAAAAGTTGTTGCAAGCGGACCCTAAAAATGGTAAAAATGAAAGATTTTTATACCAGACTTAAACGTAGGTAGTACTCCGTATTACTTTAGACTTGAATAATAAAGAGCAGAGTCATAACATACACATAATCTTGAACTTTATTATACGTAGTACTACGTATTAGACCAGAGAATTTCAAATCCAAATATATATTTTGCATAAACTCTTTAAAATCTTATATGCAAGTGGCATAATTAGCTGCCAAATTAAAAAAAAATGTAGTTAATTTAATTTAATCTCTGCAAGAGTTAAATTTCATCCCACTTGTCATAATTTAACAAATAGGTAGATTAATAAATTACACTTGATATTAAAAGAAAAAACACTGTAAGCATAACTATCCTAAAGCCTATCCGCCATGGATGAATTCTTTCAAGCTCAGAAACCTTATCTATTGAGCTCTTAAAATCAACTACTGGAAAATAATTTATAGTCTCTGCACTAAGCTAATCGCAGTTGATCTGCAGAAAATAGTTAAACCGAATTGGAATGCCTGCAATCTACGGCGGTTCCGTTAGTTCACCCAAACAGAGAATTGGAATGAATTCAAGTACCTGTTGCTCAATGCAGAAACGATATTGAGAGACAGCAAAGCCAGAGCTAGAAATGAGATAAAACAGAGCTTTGGCCATGCCGCCGACGCCATTGGAGATCGAGCTCGAGTTCGCTCTAATGTATTTATATGAATATCATGCAGAGATCGAGAGAGAGGTAAATGTTGTGTATATGAAACTAAGAATGAAGAAAGAGGATTGGCTCTGAATATCTGATGAACTGAAGAAGAGATCCTTTTTATATGAGGAAAGAGAACTTAAAATTCATTTCCCGCACCAGTGCGCCATGCTCATTTGCCTAACTACCGATATCAGAATATCTCACTAAACACTAACCCTGGTTATTTCTCTCAGTTAGCTCTACTACCTGCTATGGTAAGAGCTCAGTGTTACAAATGTCTCAAATGCTATATTGCTATGTGGTTTTTTAGATAATTGGATCTCTTCTAGAATATTATAATGGGGCATTTACCTTAATAGAACAAAAACAATGGCTTTTTTATTAAAATAGGATCAATTAATTTAAACATATTTAAATAGGACTTTTTATTATATTTATGGTTGGACCAAAATACCCTCATTGTTGTCCTTGGAGTGCTGCCTGCTACATGTCGTCGACCACTTGCTGCCACCTTCGTCGGACCCGAATGCGGTCTGAATTTGGCATTGTATTTCAGGGTGCGGGTCTAAATTTAGAACCGTTTCCGGAATCCATATCCGCACTCGTTACATGATAGAGAAAATGGGTTGGGTGTTACATGATAGAGAAAATGGGTTGGGTGTGGATTTTTAAGTTTCGGCCTATTTTGGACCCGAGTACCTGACCCGCGACGATATAATTATAATTATAAATACACACTCATACACACACAATATACATAGAAATGTTTAAACGTAAAATAAGGAAGATAATCAAATATAAAAAAATGTTTTAATAATTGTAGGTTTAGTTAGTGATTGGCTCACTATAATAGAATTTTATTTCTAATGAGTTAATCCTCCATGACTCTATAAGTTTACCAATATACAATATAACGTATATTGTATACTTTAAAACGAGTAATGGAGAGGACAAAAAAATTGGCTATGTACCACTCCGTATATTTGTTTGCATATGTCTAGCACCCGAAGGGTAAATGGGTCCGGATCTGGACCAAAAATTACTCAACTAATATGGATATGTAATTTATAGTTCCGGCCCATATTCGACCCGTTGACATGCTTATCTATAAAGTTGTGAAATTCAAATTAAAGTTTAATTAAGAATTGATATCTTGTGAATGAATCTGTTTTATTCAAAAAAATCATTTTTGTAATTAACATGGGATCGTTGGGGTATAATTTTTAAGGGAGATTTACCCAAATAGGAGCAATTAAATCTTAATTGTCAAAATAGGACAATAGTTTAAAAATTCCTCAAATAGGAGTTAATATTTTTAGTTAGACATAAACACCCCTGGAGCTTGGAAAACAGAAATCTGCTGACAGAACTCAAACTGTCGCCGGCCGCCGGCCGCTGCCAGCCGCCGCCGGCGCCTCAGAATAGGACACCTCCTCTACGGATCAGGCAGCTGCCAATACAAATCTGGCCATTTTTTGTGCAGATCTAGCTATCTCCGTCGTAGATCTAACCAGATCTGGCCGCCACCAGCCTTGCAAATCTGAAGGCCGCCGTTGGATGTCCGGCCGCTGCCAACAGTTTTTTTTTAATGCCAAAATGAATCACGAATGCCATTTTAATGGCATTTCCGAAAGATATTACGAAACTTTTTGAAGTGTAAGAATGCCATTTAGATGGCATTTTCAGGTAAAGTTTGGCAATTTGAAGCACAACAGGAGAAATAGAGATAAAATCTGAAACAAATGGCAGATAGGCAGCATCTTCCGTTGCCATTGCCGCCTCACAGAACAACCATTGTCGATGAACAAAAATATGCCAGATTTTTTCTAAGAATGCCACTTTATCTCAAAAGTGTACTCCCACGCTGCTCGCCCTTGCTTGCCGATGCTCGCCGCCACAGCACTCTGTCGCCGCTCGCTGCACCAGATGACTTCGTTGTTGCATATTTCCAATCGAAGAAGATAAGAGAAGAAAACTCACCATCTTGCAGTATGAGTAGATTGGAAACATAAGTGGTGTGAGGGAAGAGATTAAGAATTGGAGAAGAAAACCTAATCTACGGAAGAGAAGTTAGAAACTTAAAATCGATGATGCGTGGAAAAGGGATAGGTCTAGGCGGAGGAGAAAGATACACGTAGGAGGGTAAATTTGGAATAATAATCCTATTCAGGGGATAAAATTAATCTAGTCCTATTTGAGAATTTGAACACTAACTTAGTCCTACGGAAGGCAAAAAACTCAATTTTTAAATATTTGAAATCGAAAGACACTTCATTTTGTTACCGAGGTGCAAAAATGTCTTTTTATCTCTTATCTTTTTCGACTTTTCTACATCTTTCTCAACTGATATTATAGAATATATATAGTCACCTTACTTTAATCTTTTTATATGTGGCACCTAGAATATGTATCCGCCATTAGAAATGCTCTAGGATCATCATCTATAGAGAAAAGTCAGAGTTTTCATGGCATGGCTCAAAGGTTTGTCGCCCTTAGCTTGCAGCTAAGAATGTGTGGTCCTCATTGCAAGACTAAAGTTCGAATTTGAAAAGGTAAAAAATTTATACCAAGTATGGTCTTTTACGGAGTAACAATAAGTCTTTAGCCCGTGGATTAGTTTTAAATTTGTCTTAGTTTTATAATCGTAGTAAGTAGTTAAAACTTAAAAGTATATGTCCATATTGTAGGGAAGAAAAACACTGCCTGTCAAAGTAATTCAACCACAAACCCAAAACAGTCCAAATATACTTGACAAGAATTCTTCCAAGCTTGCAAGAAACTCACAGGATCCCGGTTTAATAGCAGGTATCAGTGAATGACATCAAAAACATATATGGAGAAAGCTGTAAAAATGAAATGAAACCAAGCACACACAGAACACCATGATTTTTTACGTGGAAAACCCCTCCAAATCGAAGAGGAAAAACCACGGGGCCTCCATCCACCCAAACTCTTCACTAATCAACAAGGAATGAGTACAAGAGAGTCTCCAAACATCAAATATGATGATACAACAGCTCAAGAAGTATAAAACTTCAACAAAGATACAAAGAGGATGAAAAGGGATTGAAATCACCCTACAAACTGCAGGTCTGTTCGGAAATGATTCTAGACGATCTGACCGTCAAAATCCAATCTCCACCGTTCAGAATTTAGGTCTGTGTCTTGAGAACCTCCAGTCAAAATTTCAGCATAATCTGACCACGGATGCCTTCCCAATCGCGATTTCTCTGAAGCTGGGCGAGCAGCAAAATTCTGCTCAGAAAATATCTCTCCTTTATCTGTTATCTTTTTCTGTTGGCTGATGTCTTCCCTGACCACAGGTTCTATTTTTCAGAATCCATCCTTTGACTAAGTGAAGAGTCAAATGACTTAATGGGTCTCCATCAATTGGGCTATAATCACATAGGAGGGAATAAATGAGATAGGCCCAACAAATCTCCCCCTCCCGACTATGTGAAGAAATCATTCACTTTCCATCCCGGAAAGCGAACAACAAACCTCAAACTTCCATCTCGGTAATGCTTTTGTGAACATGTCAGCCCCATTATTATCAGTATGAACCTTTTCAAGTTCCAACAACCTATCATTCAAGACTTCACGTATCCAATGATACCTTACATCAATATGTTTAGATTTAGAATGAAAGGTTAAATTCTTACCGAGATGAATTGCACTTTGACTATCACATAGCAACACATATCTTTCTTGAGAGTATCCAAGTTCCTTCATAAAATTCTTCATCCAAAGCAACTCTTTGCAAGCTTCCGTGGCAGCTATAAATTCAGCTTCTGTAGTTGATAGTGCAACACATCTTTGTAATCGAGATTGCCACGAAACAGCTCCCCCTGCAAAAGTAATCAAATATCCAGAAGTAGACTTTCTTGAATCAATATCCCCAGCCATATCTGAATCAGTATAGCCTTCAAGAACATATTTTTCATTTCCAAAACAGAGTCTTAGACTTGAACTTCCCCGGAGATATCTCAAAATCCACTTCACTGCTTCCCAATGTTCTCTTCCTGGATTTGAAAGAAAACGACTAACCACTCCTACAGCATGAGAAATATCGGGCCTCGTACAAACCATGGCATACATCAAACTACCAACGGCTGAAGCATAAGGAACTCTATCCATCTCTTTCTTCCCATCTTCAGTTGAAGGGCATTGCTGGACACTTAGTTTGAAGTGACTAGCAAGTGGAGTGCTAACTGATTTTGCATTATCCATTTTAAACCTTTGAAGCACTTTCAGAATATAACTCTCTTGAGATAGCCAAAGCTTTCTTTCTTTTCTGTCCCGAGTGATCTTCACTCCAAGAATTTGCTTTGCTGGTCCCAAGTCTTTCATAGCAAAAGACTTGTTCAACTCTTGCTTCAACATATTGATCCTAGAAGCATTCTTACCAACAATAAGCATATCATCAACATAAAGCAAAAGTACAATAAAGTCATCATCAGAAAACTTTTGCATAAAAACACAATGATCAGAAGTGGTCTTTTTGTAACCCTGCTTACTCATAACAGACTCAAACTTCTTGTACCACTGTCTCGGTGCTTGTTTCAAACCATATAAACTTTTCTTCAATCGGCACACATGATCTTCTTTACCTTTAACCTTAAAACCCTCTGGTTGTTCCATGTAAATCTCTTCCTCAAGATTACCATGAAGAAAAGCTGTCTTCACATCCATCTGCTCAACCTCCAAATCAAGAATAGCAGCTAAAGCAAGCACAACTCTAATGGAAGACATTTTCACAACAGGAGAAAAAATTTCAGAAAAATCAACTCCTTTTCTCTGATTAAAACCTTTGACTACTAATCTAGCTTTGTATCGTGGGTTTGAGGAATGTTCCTCCTGTTTTAACCTGTAAACCCACCTATTCTTCAAAGCTCTCTTACCATTGGGTAACTTTACCAAATCAAAGGTATGATTATCATGCAAAGATTCCATCTCATCTTGCATTGCCCTGAACCACTTATCTTTTTGCTCACTTTCCAGTACTTCATCAAAGCATTCAGGTTCTCCCCCGTCAGTCAAGAGCACATAAGTGTCAGGATTATACCTAACAGAAGGTATTTTAGCTCTCGTAGTCCGTCTCATAGGAATTGGAGCTTCATGTGATTCCTCTGGCATATATGTAACTTCTGGATGTTGAATATCAATAGT